ACGTACCCACCATCATACCTGGCTAATTTTTGTATTTTTAGTAGAGATAGGATTTCACCATGTTGGCCAGGCTGGTTTCAAACTCCTGATCTCAGATGATCCATCCCCCTCAGTCTCCCAAAGTGCTGGGATTACAGGCATGTGCCACAGCACCCAGCCTATCTTTGTTTTCTTAGCACTCAGTTCAAATGCCTGGTGCTCAATAAATGTTTGTTGAATGATAAATAAATGTAATCAATATTAATTTGAAGTAGCAAACTCCAAACAACTTCCACTTTACTTTGTCAGGTAGAGTAATTTTGGCCCTGTAGTAATTTCCTATCTTGGTACCTCATCTGAAAAATATGGCAGTCCTCGTATTACCTTCTGAATAGTGCCTTCACTGTAGCTTTTGCCTCTTGATGGTTTCTAATGAGCTCCTCTCAGTAAATAACAGTCTACGTGTCACACATGCCATGCACCATTTGCCACCTTTCCCCTCAAGGTCTACTTGACAGTGAATCTTTTTTTTTTTAATTGCATTTTAGGTTTTGGGGTACATGTGAAGAACATGCAAGACTGTTGCATAGGTACACACATGGCAGTGTGATCTGCTGCCTTCCTCCCCTTCACCTATATACTTGGATGGGAGACAGTGAATCTTAACACACTCTCCTATGAAGTCTAGACTGTTCAGAATTCATTTCTGGACTAAGAATCCTTTTTAGAAAGGTGCTATACTGGAGTTACCATTCAAAGTGCAATAATTTGCCTTTCTGGGCATAATACTTAAGAGCATACATTTGAATCCATAAAAGCATGGTGGCAGATTCTGACTCTGCCATTTACTACCTTTATTATTTGGCATTTTTCAGACTCAGTTACCTCACTGTAAAACTGTAATTGTAATATCTGTCACAAAAGGTTGAGGTGAGGTGTGAATGAGATAAGATATGCAAAGCTCTTAGGATACAGCTAGTGCTTAAGCACTCAATAAATAGTAGTTATTGCCCAAATGGACTCTCATTTTCCATGCTACTGGCCCAGTCTCCTGAAAGGCAGTATAGTCACATTCATACTGCTTTATTTCTTTAAGATACTTGTTCTTAAAGGGGAGAGGGAAAGTGAAAAAAAAAAAAAAATAGAATGTCCTCTTTACAGAAAGAAGCTAATCAGATTGTAAACTAGCAGAGCCTGATAATTCTTCTTATATTTGCAAAGCTGTGCTAAGCAATAGTCAACAAAATCCTGAGATTTTTGTGCTTTTTAAATACAATTTTAAATGTAACCTTAACAATATTAAGTACATATAAGATTAAATCATGTAATAAGAATCACTTCCATTTTTGACAAGCTTCTTAGTTCAGAGCCCTTAGGTACTTCCTGTAATAAAGACCCATTTTCAGATTCACAGATATTATCTAATGTTTCACTCTGTCTTTTCACATTCTTAATTTGCGGCCTGTTTTCAATGGCCTGTCTCATATCAGCTGTCACTTTTGTGATTGAAATGTCACTTCACATTACAGTTTTCATTGGGACAGTTCTCATCTATGGTTTCAATTCAATTTAATTCAAATTAGATCCTTATGTCTCAGGACAATTGAATTCACTTAAAATCTCCTCTGTTCAGATAGGATTGTAACCACTACTTCCTGTTGATACTACTGGAGTTATTGGTACCTTCTAAACCCCTGGTACTGCCTGGGAGCCTCCCAGGTCTCGTAACAAGGACACTGCTGCTTCTGCCCTTGGAAATAGGTCTGGCACCAGCACTGGAACCAGCCAGGCTAGCATTATGCTCAACAGTTATTAAACCACCATTGCTGTCTCTGGTGTTGATGCCTCAGTCTCCACCACCTTCCTCTCACCAAAATCCCACTGGGTTAGTGCGTTTCTGAATTATGGAAAAATATTTTCTCACATTTTGTTTTATAAAATTTTGGCTGACAAACAGCTCGGTAGGTTATAGAAGTTCGGAAAGTGGTAATTTGCTTATTTTGTTTGGTTTGATTGAGTTTTTCTAGTCTTCCCCCAACAGAAGCCAGACAAAATGGGGCTGAGTAACAACAGCGAAATTTACCCATGTCTTCTCCTGAGACAACTTTTTCAGACCTGACTCGCATGCTTGACTTTCCCGAAAATAAATTTCTTTTCGAGAGGCTTTTCTTGCAAGACTGCTGGTAGCAATGATACCACCGTGCTACCAGATGTATTGAAACTCCTTTATCCTGTCATCTTGTGGGCTTTGTCCAGGCTTGCAAGCATTCTAGAACCTTAGTGACACTATCCAGAAGAGGAAAAGATTCAGAGTCCAGAAAACTCACCCAACTGAAGGGCTGCACCTTAAAAAGGAGGAGACCAGTAGGCTGCATCACCATATTTCCAGAGGCTGACCTTGATTCTGGCTAATTGCACACACAAGGAAATTCACCAAATGAGCAAAGCCCAGCTATGGAGTTCAGGTCGGAGCTGTGCTATGACTTGGCCATTGGCAACATTGCCTCTGCTACTGGTATCCCTGGGTATGGGGGCTGGTAAAAAGTTAGCTGAGGTTGCAGCCTAGCCCTCTATGCAGGCTTTAAACAGGCCATAAGAAACCAGATAGAGGTGGTCCCTAAGGCTAGGTACTTTGGGAGAGCTAAATCCGAAGCATTCTGAAGGAACTGTTTAAATGGAGAGGTAAAACTAGATCATAACATGGAAAAATGAGGTTGTGCACAGAACTGAGGGGGCAAACTAGATACATGTGCATGTCAGTAGTGGGGGGAATCCAGAGAAATGGGATAAGCAGCTAGGAAGCCATAAGTGGGAGATGACACCTGCTGCATGATACTAGTTTTGACTAGGGTTCTTAAAGGCAGCTCAACTGGCTAGATTTAGAGTATCTAGAAAGCCAAGGCAGATAAAGTACTTTTAATACATCAGAAATGTGGACTGGACCTACAGAGGGAATTGCCATAATTGCTAAAGCTTGGACTTTGAAATTAGAAGTCTTGGGTTTAAATCTCAGCTCTGACACTTAGTCACAGTGTGGCTGTGTGCAAATTAGTCTCTATAACTCTGCATCCTCCATTAAAGAACCTCAAGGGGCCTTTTAAGAACTTGTGAAGTCCATATCCCAGTGCCAGGCATACAATAGGTACCCAAAAATGAAGGAATATTGGATGATACCATCACAACTAATTCTAGACCACATTCACTGGTAGAGCTGAGCCTGTTAACAATTTGCTTTCTCTGGTGAGAAAGGACTCAGAAATTGGCAAACTGATACGGGTATGGGTTTTATATTTGAAAGAGTGGCTAGGGAACCAAGAGCCTGACGTAGGTGATTCCTTAGAAAGTAAAGCTATTCAGAGGGCGCTCCAGAGTAGCAGCTGATCTGGCAAACTGATATTTAAACCACAATATTCATGCTTTCTTTCTACATGCAGAAACAAATACCCCTTTCCCAGAGATGTGTGTGTGTGTGTCTACACACATGCACATACTTCAAAGCCACAGGTCACAATCAAACATGGTTTCCCTTTGCAGGGAACACACTGGCTTTCAATACTTTCCTTAACTTATAGCCTCACATGTGAACTTTTGATCTCTGAAATGAAGTTCATAAATTTCAGTATCAGAATGGTTGCTACTGTTTCATAGTTTACATGTAAATTGTTATTCCTATATCCATAGAAGTCACTTCAGTTTTTTCTCTCTATGGCCACAGTATTACTACATTTAACCTGTGCTGGAAGGTGCCCTGAGTTTAAATTAAGTTGAATGCTGGGCCAAGTGTGAAACACAAGAGATCCTGCTAGTCTAAGTCTAGGGCTTCCTTAAGAGAGGCCCTCCTTCACGTCTTGGAAACAAGGATTGATGTTGCACCACTCAGACCTCCTCTTTCCATCCCAGCTGAATTAGTCCATTTTCACACTGCTGACAAAGACATATCTGAGAGGGGGAAGAAAAAGAGGTTTAATTGGACTTATAGTTCCACATGGTTGGGGAGTCCTCAGAATCATGGCGGGAGGCAAAAGGCACTTCTTACAGGGCAGCAGCAGGAGAAAATGAGGAAGAAGTGAAAGCGGAAACCCCTGATAAACCAACAGATCTCGTGAGACTCACCCGCTATCATGAGAATAGCACGGGAAATACCAGCCCCCATGACTCGATTACCTCTCCTTGGGTCCTTCCCACAACACATGGGAATTCTGGGAGGTACAATTCAAGTTGATATTTGGGTTGAGGCACAACCAAATCATATCACCAGTCTTATCTCCTACCATTTCCCTCCTCACACTACAGTCCAGCCACACCAAATTGTGATCATTCCTTCAATGCACCTTGCCCTTTACTGCATTTCTGCATTTGCACATTCTCTTTCCTCTACCCCAAGTGATCTTCCTTCCCTCTTTTTAGAGGGATTCCTTGTCAGCCTAAATGGCCTAGCTCAAGACTCATCCTTCAGGGTGTTCTCTATAGACCTCCTCAATCCCTTTGAAGTTACTCTCTCTCTTCTCTTGGCCCCTGCAGTATTCCATGCACACCTGTATTATTCAGCTTCTCACATTGTAATTTCTCCCCCTGTGAGCCCTTTGAAAGCAAGGTGAGTGTCCTACTTATGGTCCTTGTATCCCCAGCATCTATTATCATGCCTGCCACTTGTTTGGTGCACATTAAAAATGTATGAATGAGGCAGGCATGGTGGCTCATGCCTGTAATCCCAGCACTTTGGAGGCCAAGGAGGGTGGATGACAAGGTCAGGAGTTCGAGACCATCCTGGCATCATGGTGAAACCCTGTCTCTACAAAAAATACAAAAATTAGCCAGGTATGATGGTGGGTACCTGTAGTCCCAGCTACTCTGGAAGCTGAGGCAGGAGAATTGCTTGAACCCGGGAAATGGAGGTTGCAGTGAGCCGACATCATGCCACTGCATTCCAGCCTGGGTGACAGAGCAAGACTCTATTTCAAAAAAAAAAAAAAATGTATGAATGAAAGCCAAATTATTCTTTTTGTTTTTTCTTCCTGCAGAAACGATGATCATGGGTAAGAGGACTGCTTGCACCAAGGACACAATAGTACAACCACCTTACAAAGATCTTAAGTAACTTTTTCCATCCAGCAACACCCAGACGACTTCAGTGACCAAATGCTCAGCTGTAACCACAGCAATAACTGGCCTTCTTTCCAAACTGAGTTTGGTGAACCTGAATGGTCCAGCCACCTTCTGCAGGTGACCCAAGGTGATGTGCTGACGGCGAAGCATGTCTCCTATGGCCAAGAACCAAGATTGGACTATGAGCGAAAACAAATGATAGCTATAGTGATAGTACCAAAGGTACCAGGACTCAGTGTTTCATATGAAGCCCTTTGTGATGAGGACACAGAATCTGCCCTGGAAATTGTTATTCTAACATGATATTATTTTCTAGAATGCCCTGGAAGGAAAGACTATTTAAAAATATATCCAGGTGCTAAATAGGCAGCAGATCTCAATTCATACATGACTACCTTTGAGCTAATGACTGTCTCCAGAAAATAACTTTGCCCCAGTAAGTGCTCCAGATTTGCAAGGAATAGCTCCAGGAGAATGATAAGACAAGCAGGCTGTTCCCTGGAAGAAATCTAGTGGCAAGGAGGGCTAGTTCACAGCAAACTCACTGCCTCTTTCCATGCACATAGTAGAGAGTACTAGTATCAATATGGCCCTGTTTTCTGCTAAAACCAGATTTTGAGGAATCAGAGACCCCCAACACTATTCCCTCTGTAGCCAGCAGCCACTTCCTTTCAACTGGGAGTATTATTAGAATGAAAAGTAATTGTTATCCCGGTTAGAAGAGCATACATCTCAGTGGTATGAGCATGTGGAATATCCTTTCCTAGGCACGTTTGTCCACTGAGTTAACAGCCTCAGAAACTGGGGTAGCAATAGGTGAGATGAGATCACGGAGAGAGAACACAGCCATCCCCTAGAGAAAGGCACAGCTTTTGGGCTTCTTTGGCCTGCGTGCCTTCTGGGGTATGTCCATATGCAACAGCCCAGAGTCATAGCCTTGGGCAACCACACGCAGAGGTTTCCTTCTCACTTCAAACACATACATCTCTTTCACAGCACTTGGGGATGGAAATACCTACAAGAGTGAAGGTCAAGGGCACTCCCTGGGCTTCTCATTCATTACTCAGCTTCCTTCCTGACCAAGTCTGCCAACCAATGGCCAGCTATGCGCTTCATCCTCATTGCTCTGCCTCCATATAAATGAAACTAAAGGCCCCAGCATATCCTGGGAGGACTAGGGGCTGTTACCTAATGGTCCTCTGTCCCATTATAGGGGCAAGGCACCCCATCCACACATTTGCACCACTATCCCAAGATAATATTTTCCTTTTCACACAATCTATTTGCAGGAGAATCTAGATCTGGATTGCAGTTTACTTTCCTGGAAAGCTCATTATCTTTGTTTCAATTAACATTTCAGGATGGAACTAACTGGGTGGAAGAAGGATGATTGCATGTCTTTAGAAAGTTCTCATTGCCCCAGCTACCTAGTACTGTACAAGAACCTCTACCCTGATGGCAGATCTAAAAAGGCTGTAGGCCTTCGGTTGTAGGAAGCAGTGTCATTACATTCAAGCTTTACTTCTTAGATTGGCTTCCAACCACTGGGATTCAAAGAGAATCCAAGGTTCTGCCTGTGTCTGATGGCATAAGGAAAATTAAACTTCCTCTGCTCAAGGTTCCCCTCTGCTCATCCCTCATTCAGACATCCTCCAACATACCCATGTTTAGAACCAAAGCACGAAGGGCTAGCGCCACCAGGATAGTGAGCAGAAATACTGTCTGTAGATCCAGGCAGATGAGCCCAGAAGAACGGTCCCAGAGAAATCAGACTGGCCCTAATAGATATCAGGCAGCCATCCAAATAAATTCTGACATGTCCTTGGCAAAAGGATCCTGGGTTAGAGATCCTGAGGCAGCTGTGCCTACTGTTCCCCATCTCAGGAGCTTCCTGCCCAGAAAGCCAGCCGCCTTGGGATACTAATAAGGATGCAACTGGCTTTATAGGAGCAAGCAGGCAAAGAGGACTGTCCGCATGGCAGGCAGGTAGGTTTGGGTCTGGAAAGCTTTGCCTAGCCAGTACAGCTGTGGCCAGAGGCTGGTTGTAAATTTGAACTCCCTCAGCCCATTTGCAACTCTGCCTCTGTTCTCTTGCATTTTGTTTGGTTCTCCTTTAGTTTCCTAGTAAATGTTCCTTTTGAAAAACTCCAGCCTTGTCTCATTTAACTTGGGGGAAGGGGATTCTCCAATGTCTTTTCTTAGATAAAGAAGGAAATTAAAATACCATGAAAAAATGGACATGGAAGTAGAAAGGAAACATCAAGATGAGACCTCAAAAAGAGCTGGTGCCAAGAGAGAGGGAGAGGCCAGATGTACCCCCACCCAACTGGCAGTGATTCTCAGCCCCTTCCTCTTACTTCCATGGACTTCAAGTAGATCTGCCCTTGATGTGTGTTGCTGCCAAGGCACCTTCCTAGCCAGTGAATTGGACACATGCAGCAGGCAGTATGATGTCCAGTAAGTACACTGGTACATGATAGGAATAGGATCGGGGTGGGAGGGGAGAGGTTTCCACAATGTGGGTGTTCTCAAAATTCTCCAACAATCATGACTCAAAAATGGTATGATTTAGGGCTGGGTGCAGTGACTCACACCTATAATCTCAGCACTTTGGGAGGCCAAGGCGTAAGGATCGCTTGATACCAAGAGTTCAAGATCAGTCTGGCAACATGGAGAGACCCCCCAGATAATTTTTTTTTAATTAGTGATGTACCTGTAGTCCCAGCTACTTGGGAAGCTGAGACAGGAGAATCACCTGAGTCCAAGAGTTTGAGGCTTCTGTGAGCCATGATTGCACCACTGGATTTCAGCCTGGGCAACAGAGCAGGACCCTGTCTCTAAAAAAGAAAAAAAAAAAAAAGAGGTATGATTTAGTTCACATGGCCATCAGTAGAACTACGTTTCATATGACAGAAAGAAAATAATTATTTTACACTTGAGTCAGGCAGACCGACAAAGGATAGGTATGAAAAATGGCTTGCTATTTTCATGGCCATCCTGTCCTGCAATGGGGAACATTCCAATGACTTACTGCTGCCTAACAAAGCACCAAAACATAGTGGCTTCAATAGAAAGGTATTGTCTCTCTTGATTATCTGGTTGACTGAGCTTACGTGAAGCTCTCCCCTGGAGTTTCATGGTTGCTCTCAGATAGCATCTGGGGCTGGCATCATCTGAATACCTGCCTGGGATGGATGTCTAGAATGGCTTCTTCATTCACATCTGGCTCCGGAATTGAAATACCTGGAACAGCCGCAGAATGGCTGGACATCTCTCTCCACATAGTCCCTCCACATGGTTACTTTGGGCTTCCTCACAACATGGACATCTCAAGATAGCGTAAAGAGACTGGCTTCCCCCAGAGCTAGCATTGCCAGTGAGCCAGGTAGCTGCTTCAAGTTTCTGTTAAGTAAGTTCTAAAGTAACCTAGAGTCACTTCTGCCACATTCTATGGGTCAAGAGTGTGTCATCATCTTGAATCAGCTCAGATTCAAGGGGAAAGAAATTACACAAGAATGGAATACCAGATGTGGCTCATCAGGGCCATATTTGGAGACAGTGGGGATAGGAGTAACAGTGGGGAGGTTAATGAGTTAAAGGGCTTCCTAATAGCTGTCATTTTAAAAGCACATAGAACGCTCAACACATGGGGAGAATGCAGTGAGTAATAACAGGCAGAGGAGAGGGGAAGGGCTAAACATGGATAAATAAACAGAGCATAGCTAAAGAAAAGCAACTGATTCTGACTAATACAGTGGTTATGAACTTTCAAAACAAATTTATGCATAGTAATTTAATGAACTGAGAAAAAGACACAAATATGGATGTGAATATAGCCAAAAACAATGTCTGCTGCCTGTAGGTGGATCCTGATAATTCTGCAGGTCACTTTGCCCCTGGCCACCCACTTCACTCATAGCCACCTGGGACTACTGAAGGCATCTAGCTTAGGAGTGCCCAGCCTCTGGTATTGCCACTCAAACTCAACCCAGAAAAGACGGCTCACCTGTTGCTTACTGGGCCCTTCCACATCCTTACAAAGAATATCTCTCTCACACAGGAGTCCTGAGCTGGTTGCTGGAACAGAGCACAACCAGAGGCTGAGTGGCCAGTGAGACTCCTCTGAGACCCAGGTTTTCTCTCTAATGGGAACTCCTCACTCTTCCTCCTTCAGTCCTCTGTCGGGACCAAAGAGGAGGGAAACCTCTCAATATCTTTTGGCAATCACTGTGAACACTTCCCCAGCTACAGAGGTGCTCCTTTGGGGTCATCCAAGTCAGAGTCAAGCCTTTGGCAATGTTTGGGAAATGCTGGTATGCCTCTGAGATGAGCTTTCAAGAAGAGAGGCATGTATAAATGGGACCTTTCTGGGATAGCACACACTATTACTACTTTCTTACTTTTTTCCCTTTGTTGTTGTTGTTGTTGTTGAGATGGAGTTTCACACTTGTCATCCAGGCTGGAGTGCAGTGGCACATCTCAACTCACTACAACCTCTGCCTCCCGGGTTCAAGCAATTCTTCTGCCTCAGCCTCCTGAGTAGCTGGAATTACAGGCACCCACCACCAGGCCCAACTAATTTTTTTGTATTTTTAGTTGAGACAGGGTTTCACCATGTTGGCCAGGCTGGTCTCAAACTCCTGACCTCAGGTCATTTGCCCACCTTGGCCTTCCAAAGTGTTGGGATTACAGGTGTGAGCCACCGATCCTGGCCCCACTATCCTACTTTCTATCAAGTACTTTCCAAGATAGGCTGACCTTCATGGAAGAAGTGAAATAGAAAATTGAGGAAAAGAAAATAATCAGGAAAAAAAAAAAGTCCTACCAGTCAAGAAAATATCCCAAGGAAGACCTACAGGACAACTTCCAAGGCAAATAGGAAAAGAGAACATGGCAAACTAGGAGCTGCAGAAGAGAGCCCTGTTTTCACCCCTAAGCCCAGGATGAATGTGACGCAAAAATAGGCTCTGTTATTTTGGAGGGAGCAAAAGTGAGTAAGTGAGTGAGTGAAAGGAAGAGAAAAGAAAGGAGGGAGGGAGGGAGGGAGGGAAGGAAGGAAGGAAGGAACGGAGGGAGGGAGGGAGGTAGCCTCTGAGCAGTGCTACAGACCTGCTTCCAGTGTCCCTGATATAAAGCTGTCTTTGCTCAGTCTCCCAAGAGAACAGATCAAGCTTCTCCCAGGGACTACGGCAGGAACCCACTTCCTTTTTCCACTCAAAAGATGAAATTGTCACTTGCTGCCTGGAATCCCTGGGCATATGGGCTGCAAAATTCAACTAGCTGTGTGATGACTTCTGTCACCTCACTCCCTGGTGTCTTCCCACTAGTGTTCAGGAGCTCTGGGCCTGGGAAGGATTAAAAACCAAGATTAAAGATGGCCCACAAGGCCTCAGAGGATCAGAAGCCAGCCCTTCAGTCCAGAAATTTTGGCTGAGCCTCTGTCATTAAGGGCCCCCAGCTTATCCATAGGCTAATGCAAAACTTTCACAACAGCTACTGGTTCTCATGACACCTCCTCCTGGTAGAATGGAAAGCATAGGTCAAAAGGACCTGTGCCACAGATTCTGTCCATTGACTCTGCCTCCCTAATCTATCTTTTTATTTTTTTTTGAGACAGAGTCTCGCTTGGTCACTAGGCGCCAGGCTGGAGTGCAGTGGTGCAATCTTGGGTCACTGCAACCTCCGCCTCCCAGGTTTAAACAATTCTTCTGCCTCAGCCTCCCAAGTAGCTGGGACCAGAGGCGCATACCACCATGCCCAGCTAGTGTGTGTGTGTGTGTGTGTGTGTGTGTGTGTGTGTGTGTGTGTGATATATATATTTTTTTTTAGTAGAGACGGGATTTCATCATGGTCTTGATCTCTTGACTTCATGATCCGCCCACCTCAGCCTCCCAAAGTACTGGGATTACAGGCGTGAGCCACCATGCCTGGCCCCCTAATCTATCTTAAGATACTCTGTGAAAGCTGGATGAACATGCTCACCAATTTAAAAAGTGTATATATCAATATAAAATGGACTAATGATAATCAATGTTGCATATTATAGTTTGTTTTATCCATTTTCTTTATTTTTTGAAAATTGAACTTTTTTATTAAATATTATAGTAGAAAAATTAATGTATTGACTCAATACTAAATTTATTATAGTTATTATTCCAATAATTATTCATTGAATTAAAGTTATTTCAAAACTACTATTTTACATAGGAATATTGAGAGTTTTTTTCTTCCAAGTGAATATCATCTTCAAAACATTCACACAATTTAGATCAAATTCTTTTTGCACAGCAACTGCATCCAGAGACTTGATTTTGGATTTAGATTTAAATTGATCAAAAACAGGCATTTTTTTTTTAACTTGCCTAATTCAAAGCTCAAAGACTAATGAAATCCTTTCTTCAAATACCTGAAGACATTTGTCTTCAGGGCTCCAGAGATGAGCTTATGAACCATATAAACTGGTAAGTAAATCTTCCAGAAACAAATTTTACCTTCATTTCAAAAAAGTAATGATTTTAAAAATATATATTTTCTCCTCAAAAAGTTTTAGAACTAAATTTAAATGTTTCTGTCTAAAACAAGAATTTCAAACAATCCTTACCTTAAAAGCACACTAGACAGTACAAGCAAGATAAGAGCTCAATAAAGAAAAGCATTGCCACAAATTATGCATGTTGAAAAAAGAAGCAAATGTGCTGTCCCTGCCTTCGTGTCCACAACTCAGGCTGGAACTCTGTTAAGGCTCATTGGGCCTGCTGGTGTCAACAAGGCTCATGGGTGTTCTTAGCCAAGCAGTGAATCTGCATTATGGGCCAATATTATGGTCAGTGTATTCCTGTTTTGTTTTCTGGATGAGAAGAGTGAATACAAAATGTTTTATGGAGAAAAAGACCCAGGCAGCCCAATGCCAAGTCCCCAGAGGAAAGGAAGTGTTTTGCCCATCACATTTAAAAAAAAAAAAAAAAAAAAAAAGCAGCAATATGCTATTTTCTGAATTAGAACTCTGGAGGTTAAAGTATTTCAACAAAAGTAAATACTTTTCCATAACAAATATATTAGTTTTACCTTGTTTTCTACAAAGTTAAGTGTTGCATTATCTTAAATATCCCTGCTGATTTTGAAGAACTGTATTTGCTTGCACAAAATTAACAGTAAAACCATTTAAACTTTGACTTCCAGTGTTTTCCACACTTGACATCCACGTTGAGAAGGCAGTGACATTTATGTATGAAAGGCAGCTGGTTGGGCCTGACTTTCTACAGTGGGTCCCTGGGTTCTTGCTATTACTGTTAATACCTGCAGGCCCTTTCACAGTGACCACCTAGACAGATGAGACAGTCCTGGCTGTACAGTACACTTAGCAGCTTAGACAAAACCTCTGGGGCTCCTGGATCAAGATAATGTCATTTTGGCAGCAACTGCTACAGTTTTGTTGTCTCTTGACTCTGAAAGATGTTCTTCCTGCCCTCTTCACCCTCCCCCTGGGAAAAGGAAATGACAAAGTCAAGGAAGATTTATCCATGTCACCAAAAAGGATAAAAACAGGGGCACCCACTGTGTGTGTACATGCAGGGCAGCATAGGGAAACATCACCTAAATCTAAACCAAATACAATATCCCTAACTTTTTTCTAGGTTTTAAAGTTCATTAATCTTGAAATTTTAGGAAAATTTAAGATGAAATTTCAAAAAATGTAACAATGGACTTAAAGGAAATACAAAGGGTATGTCTATGTCTTTAAAAAGTCTCATAAAATCTGAAAACTTTAGTAAGTTATTCAAATACTTCTTGTATCTGTAGATCAGATATTGACATTTGTCAGATTGGCTGTATTATGTCCATTTTCTCAGCTCATGTAAAAGTAGCTATTGGTGGTTGCCTTCTGTATCACTCTGTTTTCACACTGCTACAAAGAACTACATGAGATTGGGTAATTTATAAATAAAAGAGGTTTAATTGACTCACAGTTCTGTATGGCTAAGGAGGCCTCAGGCAACTTACAATCATGGCAGAAGGTGAAGAAGAAGCAAGCACCTTCTTCACAAGGCAGCAGGAGAGAGAGGACACATAGGGAAAATGCCAGTCACTTATCAAACAACCAGATTTCATGAGAACTCCATCATTATCATGAAACCAGCATGGGGGAACCTCATCCATGATCCAATCACCTCCCACCAGGTCCCTCCCTTGACACATGGGGATTACAATTCCAGATGAGATTTGGGTGAGGACACAGAGCCAACCCTATCATTCCACTCCGGGCCCCTCCCAAATCTCATGTCCTTTTCACATTTCAAAACCAATCATGCCTTTCCAACAGTCCCCCAAAGTCTTAACTCATTCCAGTATTAACCCAAAAGTTCAAGTTCAAAATCTCATCAGAGAAAAAGCAAGTGCCTTCTGCCTATGAGCCTGTACAATCAAAAGCAAGTCAGTTACTTCCAAGATATGGTGGGGGTACAGGCATTGAGTATAAGTTTCATTCCAAATGGGAGAAACTGACCAAAACAAAGGGGCCAGAGGCCCCATACAAGTCTGAAACTTGGCCAGGCAGTCATTATATCTTACAACTCCAAAATCTTTGACTCCATTTCTCACATCCAGAGCATGCTGATGCAAGGGGTGGGCTCCCATGACCTTGGGCAGCTCTGCCCCCATGACTTTGCAGTATACAGCCCCTGTGGCAGCTTTGACAGACTTTGAGTGCTTGCAGCTTTTCTAGGGATTTGGTGAAAGCTGTCAGTGGATCTACCTTTCTGGGGTCTGGAGGATGGTAGCCCTCTTCTCACAGCTCCACCAGGCAGTGCCCCAGTGGGACTGTGTGTGGGGGCTCCAACCCCACATTTCCTTCTGCACTGCCCTAGCAGAAGTTCTCCATGAGGGCTTTGCCTTGCAGCAGACTTCTGCCTGGACATCCAGGCATTTCCATACATCCTCTGAAATCTAGGCAGAGATTTTCAAGTTTCAACTCTTGTCTTCTGCACACCCACAGGCCCAACACCACATAGGAGCCACCAAGGTTTGGGGCTTACCCCCTCTGAAGTAATGGTCCAAGCTGTACCTTGGCCCTTTTTATCCAGGGCTGAAGCTGGAGTGGCTGGGACACAGGTGCCATATCCTAATGCTGCACAGAACAGCAGGGGCCCTGGGCCCAACCCATGAAACCATTTTTCCCTCCTAGGCCTCCTAGCCTGTGATGGGAGGGGTTGCCACTAGGATCTCTGACATGCCCTAGAGACATTTTCTCCATTGTCTTAGCTATTAACTTCCTCTGCTCCTCATTGCTTACACAAATTTCTGTAGCTGGTTTGACTTTCTCCCCAGAAAATTTGTTTTTCTTTCCTACTACATGGTCAGGCTGCAAATTTTCCAAACCTTTATGCTCTGCTTCCCTTTTAAACATAAGTTCCAATTTCAAATTATCTCTTTGTGAACACATATGACTATATACTTTCAGAAAAATCCAGATCACCTCTTGAATGCTTCACTGCTTAGAAATTTCTTCATCCAAATGCCCTAAATTTTCTCTCTCAGCTTCAAAGTTCCACAGATCTATAGGATAGGGGCAAAATGCCACCAGTCTCTTTGCTAAAGCATAGTCTGACTGAGCTTGATGCCAGTTCCCGTAAGTTCCTCATCTCCATCTGAGACCAGCTCAGCCTGGACTTTATTGTCAATATCACTATCAGCATTTTAGTCAAAACCATTCAACAAGACTCTAGTAAGTTTCAAATTTTCCCACATCTTTCTGTCTTCTTCTGAGCCCTCCAAATTGTTCCAATCTCTGCCTGTTACCAAGTTCCAAAGTTCCTTCCACATTTTTTGGTTATCTTTATAGCAGTATCCCACTCTGTCAGTACCAATTCTACTTCCTAAAGGATTATTTCTATGTGTGAAGCCTCAGTGGGCCTTTTCTGGCTTTGAAAAAAAAGACCCTGTGGAGGCAGAACAAGATGGCTGAATAGGAACAGCTCTGGAGTACAGTTCCCAGTGAGAGCTAAGCAGAAGGTTAGTGATCTCTAGATTTCCAAATGAGGTACCAGGTGCATCTCAACGGGACTGGTTGCACAGTGGGTTTAGTCCAAGAAGGACAAACTGAAGAAGGGTAGGGCACTACCTGGGAAGTGCAATCCCTGGAGGACCACCCTCCCTACCCAATGGAGGCTACCAGGGGCTTTTCCATCCATTCCAGAACTCCGGTTCAGATATTGCACTTCTCCCACAGTTTTTGCCACCTACAGACCAGGAGATTCCCAGGCCAAAAAGTACCACAAGTTTCCAGCATGGCTGTTTCAGCTGGCACCATGAGTTTCCACACAAAAACTCACACAAATCTTGGCAGCTCTTTCAACTGGTGCCTGGGATGCCTAGGAGACAAAGCTGCCCATTCAACTTAAAAAGAGGGGACCGAAAGCAGGGATCCAGGTGATCTGGCTCAGTGGATCTCACCCCCACAAAGACCAGCAATCTGAAATACTCTGACCCTGAGAGTTTCGCAGCAAGCTCAGCTGGACCTGGGATGCTCAAGCTCTTTGGGGGGAAGGGCATCCACAATTACCAAGGCAGTCCACCACTACTGAGGCAGTCCGCCATTACCAAGGCAGTCCGCCATTACTGAGGCAGTCCGCCATTACTGAGGCAGTCCACCATTACTGAGGCATTCTGCCATGACTGAGGCAGTCTACCATTACTGAGGCAGACCACAATTACCAAGGCAGTTCTAACTGTACCTCTGTAAACAAAACCACAAGGAAGGTTACACAGCAGCTGGGCAGAGCCAATGGCAGCTCAGCAATGCCTCTTCTGGAAAACTGTGACTAGACTACCTCCTTGCTGGGCAGTGCATCTCCCAAAAAGGCAGCAGCATATCAAGTACTTATAAATAAAGCCCAACTTCCCAGGACAGAGCACCTGGGAAAAGAGGCAGTTATAAGCTCCACTGCACCAGACTTAAATGTACCTGCCCAGCAGCTCTGAATGAACAATGGAGCTCCCAGCACAGCACCTGAGCTCTGATAAAGGACAGACTGTCTCCTCAAGCAGCTCCCTGATCCCCAGATATCCAAAGAGGCACCTCTTAAACGAGAGCTCTGGCTGACATCTGGTGGACACCCTTCTGGGATGAAGATAACAGAAGAAGAAACTGGCAGCAACCCTTACTGTCCTGCAGCCCTCACAGGTGATTCCCAGGCAAGCAGAGTCTGGAGTGGGCCTCCAGCATTCCTGAACCAAAGGGGCCTGACTGTTAGAAGGAAAACTAAAAACAGAAAGAAATAGCTTCATCATCAACAAAAAGAAAGTCCACTCAGAACCCCACCCAAAAGCCACCAACTGCAAAGACCACAGGTGATAAATCCATGAAAATGGGAAGAAAAGGGTGAAAACATCAAAGACCAGAACGCCTCTCCTCCTCAAAGGGATCACAACTCCTCACCAGCAAGGGAACAAAGCTGGATGAAAAATAAGTCTGATGAATTGACAAAAGCAGGCTTCAGAAGGTGGGTAATAACAAATTTCTCTGAGCTAAAAGAAAATGTTCTAACCCAATGCAAAGAAACTAAGAACTTAGAAAACAGGTTAGACGAAATGCCAACTAGAATAGCCAGCTTAGAGAAAAACAATCTTCTCTGAGCTAAAAGAACATGTTCTAACCCAATGCAAAGAAACTAAAAAGTTAGAAAACAGGTTAGATGAAATGCCAACTAGAATAATCAGCTTAGAGAAAAACATAAACTACTTGATGGAGCTGAAAAACACAACACGGGAACTCATGAAGCATACACAAGTTTCAATAGCTGAATCAACCAAGCAGAAGAAAGGATATCAGAGATTGAAGGTCAACTCAATGAGAGAAAATGAGAAGGCAAGATTAGAGAAAAAACAGTGAAAAGAAATGAACAAAGCTTCCAAGAAATATGAGATTATGTGAAAAGACCTAATCTACATTTGATAGGTGTATCTGAATGTGACAGGGAGAATGAATCCAAGCTGGAAAATACTCTTCAGGATATTATCTAGGAGGCCTTCTCCAACCTAGCAAGGCAGGCCAACATTCAAGTCCAGAAAATACAGAATACACCACAAAGATATTCCTCAAGAAAAACAACACCAAGGCACATAATCATCAGATTTACCAGGGTTGAAATTAAGGAAAAAATGCTAAGCACAGCCAGAGAGAAATGCTGGGTTACCCACAAAGAGAAGCCCATCAGACTTACAGTGGACCTCTGGGCAGAAACCCTACAAGCCAGAAGAGAGTGATTCACCATCCTTAAAGAAAAGAATTTTCAACCTAGAATTTCAAATCTAGCCAAACTAAGCTCCTTAAGCGAAGGAGAAATAAAATCCTTTATAGACGAGCAATTGCTGAGAGATTTTGTTACCACCAGGCCTGCCTTACAAGAGCTCCTGAAAGAATCACTAAACAAGGAAAAGAACAACCAGTACGAGCCATTTCAAAAATGCACTAAATGGTAAAGACCATCGACACAATGAAGAAAATGCAAAAACTAATGGGCAAAACAACCAGCTAGCATTAAAATGGCAGAATCAAATTCACACATAACAATATTAACCTTAAATGTAAATGGGCTATATGCCCCAGTCAAAAGACACAGACTGGCAAATTGGATAAAATGTCAAGTCCCATTGGTGTTCTGTTTTCAGGAAACCCATCTCACGTGCAAGGACACACATAGGCTAAAAATAAGGGGATGGAGGAAGATTTACCAAGCGAATGGAGAGTTAAAAAAAAAGGAATGACAATCCTAGTCTCTGATAAAATGGACTTTAAACCAACAAAGATCAAAAGAGACAAAGAAGGGCCTTATATAATTGTAAAATGATCAATGCAACAAGAAGAGCTAATGATCCTAAATATATACACACCCAATACAGGAGCACCCAAATACAGGAAGCAAATTCTTAATGACCTACAAAGAGACTCCCACACAATAATCATGGGAGACTTTAACCCTCCACTGTCAATATTAGATCAACAAGACAGAAAATTAACAAGGATATCCAGAACTTCAACTCTGATCTGGACCAAGCGGACCTAACAGACATCTACAGAACTCTCCACCCCAAATCCACAGAATATGCATTCTTCTCAGCACCACATTGCACCTACTCTAAAATTGACCACATAATTGGAAGTAAATCACTCCTCAGCAAATGAAAAAAAAAACGGAAATCATAACAAACAGTCTCTCAGACCACACTGCAATCAAATTAGAACTCAGGATTAAGAAACTAACTCAGAACCGCACAACTTCATGGAAACTGAACAACTGGCTCCTGAATGTTGACTGGATAAACGAAATGAAGGCAAAAATAAAGATGTTCATCGAAACCAATGAGAAAGAAGACACAACGTACCAGAATCTCTGGGACACATTTAAAGCAGTGTGTAGAGGAAAATTTACAGCAATAAATGCCCACATGAGAAGCGAGGAAAGATCTAAAATTGGCACCGTATCGTCAAAATTGAAAGAGCTAGAGGAGCAATATCAAAAAAACTCAAAAGCTAGCAGAAGACAAAAAAATAACTAAGATCAGAGCAGAGCTGAAGGAGGTAGACACACACACACACACACACACACACACACACACACAAAACCTTCAAAAAAAATCAATAAATCCAGGAGCTGTTTTTTTTTTCTTAAAGATCAACAAAATAGACCACCAGACAAGTTAATAAAAAAGAGAGAAGAAACAAATAGATGCAATAAAAAACAACAAAGGGGATATCACCATGAATTCCCAAGAAATGCAAACTACCATCAGAGATTACTACAAACAACTCTATGCATATAAACCAGTAAACTCAGAAGAAATTGATAAATTCCTGGACACTTGCACCCTCCCAAATCTAAACCAGGAAGAAGTCGAAACCCTGAATAGACTAATAAAAGGTCTGAAGTTGAGCCAACCAACCAAAAAACGTCTAGGACCAGACGAGTTCATAGCCGAATTCTTCCAGATGTACAAAGAGGAGGAGCTACCATTCCTTCTGAAACTATCCCAAACAATACAAAAAGAAGAACTCCTTCCCAAATCATTTTATGAGACCATCATCCTGATACCAAAACCTGGCAGAGACTCAACTAAAAAAGAAAACTTCAAGCCAAAATCCATGATGAACATAGATGCAAAAATCTTTAATAAAATACTGGCAAACTGATTGCAACAGCAAATCAAAAAGATTATCCACAATGATCAAGTAGGCTTCATCCCAGGGATGCAAGCCTGGTTCAACATACGCAATTCTATAAATGTAATCTACCACATAAACAGAACCAAAGACAAAAACCACATGATTATTTCAATAGATGCAGAGGCCTTTGACAAAATTCAACAGCCCTTTATGCTAAAAACTCTCAATAAACTAGGTATTGATGGAACATATCTCAAAATAATAAAAGCTATTTATGACAAATGCATAGCCAATATCATACTGAATGGGCAAAAACTGGAAGCATTTCCATTGAAATCTGGCACTAGACAAGGATGCCCTCTCTCACCATTTCTATTCAATATAGTAATGAAAGTTCTAGCCAGAGCAATCAGGCAAGACAAAGAAATAAAGGGTATTCAGTTAGGAAAGGAGGACGTCAAATTATTTCTATTTGCAGATGACATGATTGTATATTTAGAAGACCCCACTGTCTCCGCACAAAATCTCCTTATGCTGATAAGCAACTTCAGCAAAGTCTCAGGATAAAAGATCAGTGTGCACAAATCACAAGCATTCCTATACACCAATAACAGACTAACAGAGAGCCAAATCAAGAGCAAACTCCCATTCACAATTGCTACAAAGAGAATAAAATACCTAGGAATACAACTAACAACGGATGTAAGGGACCTCTTCAAAGAGAACTACAAACCACTGCTCAAGGAAATAAGAGAGGACACAAACAGATGGAAAAACATTCCATGCTCATGGTTAGGAAGAGTCAATATCATGAAAATGGCCATACCACCCAAAGTAATTTACAGATTCAACACTATCCCCATCAAGCTACCAATGACCTTCTTCACAGAACTAGAAAAAAACACCTTAAACTTAATATGGAACCAAAGTGAACCTGCAGAGCCAAGACAATCCTAAGCCAGAAGAACAAAGCTGGAGGCATCATGCTACCTGACTTCAAACTATCCTACTGAGGGAATGTATTCGCTTCCTGGGTCCACAAGGGGGCATAGTTTCAGGGGCAAGAACTTCCCAGCACCTTGCCTCCCCCTCCCCCTACCTCTCCATCTGGGGATTAGAGGTCTTTATTTATACTCTCTCGCACACAAGAAAAATCACATATCAATCACTCTAGTGGAAGTTTGAAGGAACTCCTTCCATTGGCCCAGAAAGCTTAAAGGAGGTGGGAATTCCTCCCAGGTTAAAAGTCCCAGTCTCTATCAGGACTCGGATTCCATGTCTGGATCCTCTTCCACTTAATTGTGGAAGCTTTTCTCTCTTATCTTTTTCTCTCCCCTTTTTCTCTCTCTGTCTAAATAAATCTCTTTCTGCAAAGCTCTTTGGGGTCCAATATTTACTTGCAAATGCACCACACCTGGCATGGTTCCGTCTTCCATTCTTGGGTGAGTGACAGACCAAGAACCTGGAAGAACACAGCCCACCAAGGAGCAAGCTGAGCCTCCTCCAGGTCCCAGAACCCTGTTGCACTACAAGGCTACAGTCATCAAAACAGCATGATACTGGTACCAAAACAGAGATATAGACCAATGGAACAGAACAGAGGCCTTGAAGGCAATGCCACACATCTACAACCATCTGATCTTTGACAAACCTGACAAAAACAAACAATGGGGAAAGGATTCCCTGTTTAATAAATGGCGTTGGGGAAACTGGCTAGCCATGTGCAGAAAACAGAAACTGGACCCCTTCCTGACACCTCACACTAAAATCAACTCCAGATGAATTAAAGATTTAAACATAAGACCAAACATCATTAAAACCCTAGAAGAAAACCTAGGCAAAACCATTCAGGGCATAGGCATAGGCCAAGATTTCATGACTAAAAACACCAAAAGCAATGGCAACAAAGCCAAAATAGAAATATGGGATCTAATTAAACTCCAGGGACCTGGGGAAGATGGCCGACTAGGAACAGCTCAGGATTGCAGCTCCCAGTGAAAGCAGGGCCTGGAGTGGACCTCAGCAGTCCTACAGCAGAGGGGCCAGACTGTTAGAATGAAAACTAAGAAACAGAAATAACTTCATCACATACAAACTGGAAGTTCACTGAGAGACCCAATCTGAAAGTCAGCAACTACAAAGACAACGGGTGGATAAATCCACAAAGATGTAAAGAAACCAGTGCAAAAAGGATGAAAACACCCAAAACAAGAACACATCTCCTCCTACAAGGAATCACAACTCCTCACCAGCAAGGGAACAAGGCTGGATGGAGAATGAGTGTGATGAAATGTCAGAATCAGACTTCAGAAGGTGGGTAATAAGAAACTCCTGTGAGCTAAAAGAACATGTTCTAAACCAATGCAAAGAAACTAAGAACACTGAAAAAAGATCTGACAAAATGCTAACGAGAATGGACAACATAGAGAGGAATATAAGTGAATTGGTGGAGCTGAAAAACACAACAGGAGAACTTCATGAAGCATGCACAAGTTTCAGCAGCCGAATTGACCATGCAGAGGAAAGGATATCAGAGGTCAAAGATCAACTCAATGAAATAAAATGAGAAGGCAAGAATAGAGAAAAAAGG